ATGTCTGTCTAATACTAAGACAACACATTTTTTGTAATGCAAAACAACCTGTTCCATTAATTAATTGCTTTAAAATACATTTTGTAGTTTCCTTTCATTTAAAATGGTTGAGGTAAGCTTGGGGGACTCAAAGGGCACCCGATTGTTTGTCTGAACACCTTGTTTCTCTTGTGCATTAAGAACACTTGTGTTAGGGCATGAATTAACAATAAATAGGTTACATACAGTGTAAAATACCACGTACTGTCCGCCCTCCCATGCCACCCTGGCATGACCTCTTGTCCCCCCTTTGCCACCCCATGTAAAATGTTCTAGAACCGCCACTGCTGTGAGGTGTTATAGAATTGTACTCTGGAGAGCTTTTAAAGGCAAAAAAATAAACGGCATGATGGGATGTGCAGTACCAAATATGTAAAGCACTTTTTTGTTAATGTATGATTTGCTGCATATAAGGAATAAAACAAAAATCCTCTGTCGTACCATATTGAAGTATCATTATTTTTGCATCGTGTTGAATCGCATCGTATCGCACCAAATCGCATAATGTTGAATCAAATCGTATCGAACTGTATCGCAACAGGGGTGAATCGTATCGTATCGCATCGCCTAGTGTTTCAAATGTATCGTTAATGTATCGTATCGTGGCAACGTATCGAGATGCGCATCGCATCGGCCTCAGTGATGGAGATGCACATCCCTGGAGCCACATCACTAGCAGGACTAACAATTGTAATTTGGTTTAACAATACAGGAAATAACACAATTGCATCATTTTCGTGCATTTGTATTTAAAAACAAAAGATCATCTGGAAGTAGTCAATGTTATTTTTAATATGCACATTAATATTAGTACAATGTTATTTTACATTATATACACGACTATTTATTATAAGGTATTTTGGAAATACACTGCCTGGTTTCAGAAGGCATAGACAGAAATATGCAATTTGAAAAATTAGGAAAAATCCAAAGAATTGTAAAAAAATAAGAATCTGTGATTATACCGAGGGTGTTCAAAGGCAGCTTCTGTATCTCACAGCTTGGCAGTTGATTTGTCAGGCAGAGGTCCCAGCCACTTCTCCCCTTTAACAGAGAACAACATGAGAATGGGTAAGAATCCTAAACAGTGTCAGCTTGAAGCAAAAGAGAAAGCCACATTTTCTAAAATTGTCTAAGGTTTGTCAGTCTTAATATAAAACTGTATATTTCCATAGAAAGTGCTGTTTATTTATCGGTGACTTATAGAGAGTGCAATGGTATATTAATGCCATGTCAAGTGTCACATCTTACATTTGTTTGCTATGAATGCAGAGTAGGACTCACCAATACAGTGGGCCAAGAGCTCAAATCTGTCAGATCCGAAGAACAGCTCTGGTTTTCCATTTAAGTGACACACCACAAGGGGGAAGCCAAATGCCTGGAAAGAGGAAATAGGAGAGAGCTTGGTCAGCATTGCATTATAATGTTTGATCTCTCTTGCAAAAATATACAAGGTTAACTGAAGGACAACTGACCCCATAATCGAGGGCCTCCTCTGTTGCACTTTTCAGCTTCTCTTTGACCTCCTGTGAGTTGCACAGCTCCAGGGCTTTCTTAATCTCGCTGTCAGACAGTCCTGCTTTCATTGCTGCCTGAAAAATAAATGTGAAAACAACTGTGACGGCACTGAGCGGTACATCCTAAATCTGGGGTAGGTAACTTTCTAGCTGTCATTGCTACTTGTATCCAAATACCTGAATGAGTTTACAGGCAGATACAATGTTTTTCTTTATTTTCAGAGCATTAGATTGATCGATTAAGAGAATTTAGACGCTTTTATGACAAAAATGCTTCTAAAATGAATAGTCTACCCTAGGTGTATCTTCTCAGATACAATGATATGTCGGTACCTCAGACAGTGATAAAGGCTCAGTGATGTCTCTGTCCTCATACCAGATCCTTCTCCACAGCTCCCTGGACACCCGCTCCACCCGCTCGTCTCCACTCTTTTCCATCTCCTGTACGGCTGTCACAAACCGCATTGCATTCAACGAGCCTATGAGAAGGAAAACAGATGAAGACCTGACTGTGCTGCATTATTAGCTTTGCTTAATTACGAAACAATACCACCACTGTCATGTGCAAATTAATCCAGCAGTGTTTAATCAATACACACCATGTACCTTTTTTGAACATGGCCTCAGGGACGTCAGCTGGAGGCTTCAGGGGAACATTAAAATACTCTGACAAGCGGTTCAGATCCTTGCCCATGTACAGGAATTTGTTTGGAACCAGACCAGGGGGCTTGTTACCTGTCATGAAAGAAAAATACTATATAAGTTACCATAGCTATGCAGATGACACACAAATTTACGTAACAATTTCACCAGGAGACTATGCTCCAATTCAAACACTGAGTAAGTGCATTGAACAAATCAATGACTGGATGTGTCAGAACTTTCTCCAATTAAACAAAGATAAAACTGAGGTAATGGTTTTTGGAGCCAAGGCAGAACGTATAAAAGTTAGCGCTGAGCTTCAGTCTGCAATGTTCAAAACAACAGAGAAAGCCAGAAATCTAGGTGTAGTCATGGACTCTGACCTGAGTTTCAACAGTCACATTAAAACTGTTACTAAATCAGCCTACTATCACCTAAAGAATATATCTAGGATTAAAAGACTAATGTCACAGCAGGATTTGGAAAAAACTTGTCCATGCTTTTATCTTCAGTAGACTCGACTACTGCAATGGTGTCTTCACAGGTCTCACTAAAAAATCTATTAGGAAGCTGCAGCTAATTCAGAACGCTGCTGCTCGAGTCCTCACTAACACTAAGAAAGTGGATCACATCACTCCAGTTCTGAAGTCTTTACACTGGCTTCCTGTGTGTCAAAGAATAGATTTCAAAATACTGCTGCTGGTTTATAAAGCACTGAATGGTTTAGGCCCAAAATACATTTCTGACCTCCTGCTAAATTATGAACCATCCAGATCTCTCAGGTCTTCAGGGACTGGTCAGCTTTCTGTCCCCAGAGTCAGAACTAAACATGGTAAAGCAGCGTTCAGTTATTATGCTCCAAATATCTGGAACAAACTCCCAGAAACCTGCAGGTCCGCTACAACTCTGACTACTTTTAAATCCAGGCTGAAGACTTTTCTTTTTGTCGCTGCTTTTAATTGAACTATTCATATCTTAGACTGCACTGTAACTTTTATCCATGTACTTTTTTTTTCTTTTAATGTTTAATTGACAGCACTGTAACTTTTATCCATGTATTTTTTCTTTTAATGTTTATTTTATTAGCTTTTCTTTTTAATGACTGATTTTAAATGCCATTTTCTTAATCTCTTTCATTTTTTGTAAAGCACTTTGAATTGCCTTGTGTTGAAAAGTGCTATATAAATAAACTTGCCTTGCCTATATGTAACATAACAGCACCAACAGTGTTTGCACATATACAAGTCAAACTCAAAGTCCAAAAGCATTTATATTATAGGGCTATAATAGGTAATGCATTAAAGATTGTTTCACATTAATGTTGCAGCTGATAAAGGTTGAGCTCATTTAAACTACTTTATATACAGCTGGGTAGCCTGTGAATCCCCACTCTGCTATCTTGTCTTATCTTAACCTTTAATAATACATGATATTTTATTAGTTGATGTTATTTTGTAAAATGTCTGATACTAAAGTTGACAATTCATTAATGGAGTAAAATTAGAAGAAAAATGGAAATACTCGTAAAGTACAAGCACCTTAAATACTTGTTATCAGGAGCAGCACTTGAGTACTTCGTTACTTTGCACCACTGTTTATTTACCTGATCCTTGCATGACGCCGCCCAGAAATGTAGGTCGCAGTCTGAGCTCTATGTTCCACACTTTTCTGTAGCGGCACATGACCTGTAAACACAAACATAAAAACGTGTCTTAATTCTTTCGTCGCTTCAATTGTCAAGCAAATCTGTTGTCGAAACTGTAATCAAAGACGACACAAACCTCAAAGGCAAGCCAGGAGTAGGGAGAAACCACATCGAAAAACAACTCAATCACTTTCCTGGATGACATCTTCAGGTCTGCAGAGGATTGAGGCTCTCACAGTTTTTCACTTTGATTAAATATAAAGTTAACTGTTAACAGAAACTTTTTCTAGCTACCACTGTGCGACGCGAGGTGTGTCAAAGTTCAATAACTTGATACAGAAATGCTCGGTTTTATAAAGCACTCTGTGGTGTTGTGTCAAGTCAAATCACCACATATTCCCTCAACGGAAATTATTGAAACGAATACCATTTGTTTTATTAAAGCATATGAATTATATAGCTATAAAAAAGCAAAAGTTAGGTAGAGCTAAAGGCTTACAATGTATGACCGCCATGATTAAGTATAAAAGTACACATTACTGCAAAAGTTCACATTACTGCCCTCTTCCGGAAGTAAATGTAAATGTAGGCTAAATGCTTTGGTTACATATGAACATGATAGATACTCTTCCATCTTATCTCTTTTTATATGCGGTTTTATTTTATATTTCAATTATTTTTGCTGTTATCCAAAGCGACTGACAATAAGTGCAATCAAACATGAAGATACAGACTACAAAGACATGTGTAGACTACAGTATCATGTTGTGTATTTAAACACAAAGGTGGGAAGTAACTAAGTACATTTACTCAAGTATTGTACTTAAATACAATTTTTAGATACTTGTACTTTACTTGAGTATTTCTATTTAATGCTACTTCATACTTCTACCCCACTTCAATTCAAAGGTAAATAGTCGCTTTTACTTCACTACGTTTATTTAAACCCTTTAGTTACTTTATAGATTTGGATTAATGATGTGAAATATAATCAACTCTTAAATAAGTAAATTCACAAGCTATCGTACAGTATACAAAGTAATTAAAACTAGCTGCACCTTTAGCTTTGATAACACTTTAATTAATCAGTAATTATAATACAATAATAAATACAAATGCAATAGGATTTATATTTCAAGAGAAAATTAAGTCACATGGAAGTTGTCAATGTTATTTTTAATATGCACATCATTTATAGTACTTTGATATGTTACATTGTACATATGTACACTAATATGTGTTATCAGAATCTATTGGGAAAACACTGCCTATTGTCAGAAGGCACAGAAATATGAAATTTGAAAAATAAAATACATAATTGAAATACGAATATGGAAGCACTGCCAAGGTGTTCAAAGGCTTCTGTGTATCTCAAAGCTTGGCAGCTGGTTTGTCCGGCAGAGGTCCCAGCCACTTCTCCCCTGCAACAGAGAACAGCATGAGAATGGAGAAGAATCCTAAACAGCTTCAGTTTTAACCAAACGACAAAAGCCACCTACATCACAGTGTGTAAAGTTGTCAAATGTTTGTCAAAATCCCTTAAAATAAGTATATGCCAATGTCATTTTAATCTTTAGTTTGTTGCTTCTACATTACATGTGCTTGTGATTGCTGCACAGTACAATTTACCAATACAATGGGCCATGACCTCAAATCGGTCAGACCCAAAGAACATCTCTGGTTTTCCATTCAAGTGACACACCACAAGGGGGAAGCCAAATGCCTGGAAAGAAGAAATAGGAGAGAGTTTGGTCATTCAGTTAATAAGGTTGAATCTACATGAATGTTAAAGAAAAACTGAAGGAAAGCTGACCCCATAATCCAGGGCATTCTGTGTTGAGCTTTTCAGCTTGTTTTTGATCTCCTTCGAGTTGGACAGCTCCAGTAATTCCTTAATCTCGCTGTCAGACAGTCCTGCTTTTATTCCTGCCTGCATAAACAAAACAACAACAAAAAACCACTGTGACTGCATCTATTTACTTCTGAAGTATGCATAGCATACCCTAGCTTTAATCTTCTCAGACAACACCAGACTAGATAAGATGGTACCTCAGACAGTGATGCAGGCTCGGTGATGTCTTTGTCCTCATACCAGATCCTTCTCCACAGCTCCCTGGACACCCGCTCCACCTGCTCGTCTCCACCCTTCCCCTTCTCTTGTACGGCTGTCACAAACCGCATTGCATTCAAAGAGCCTAGGAGAAGAAAACAGAAGAAGACATGGACGCTGTTGCATTACTAGCTTTGCCCAGTCAGAAGTAGTACCGCTCTTGTGCAAACACTGAATCCAGCCATGGTTTGAATGAATACACATCATGTACCTTTTTGGAACATGGCCTCAAAGGGGTCAGAGGGAGATCGCATGGGAACATTAAAATACTCTGACAAGCGGTTCAGATCCTTGGTCATGTACAGGAATTTGTTTGGAACCAGACCAGGGGGCTTGTTACCTGTCAAGAAAGATACATATTTTATGAAAAAAACGAGCTCAATCACTTGTAGCCTGCCAGCTTATCCTAACTTTTTACAATACAATATTACGTTTTATTTGTTGATTAGATGTTGCTTAATGAATCTGAGTCTTTAAAGCATCTCGAGTTAACGCAGATAAAACATACTTTATTAATCCACCAGGGGGAAACCAAATGTTCACAATGATGTTCTTTTAAAGAGTACACTAGTACAGACATGCAAACACAAAATGCAGTAAAGTAATAGTTTTAAGTTGCAGAAAATGGAAATGCTAAAGTGAGGTACACATATCTCAACATTGCTATAGTAATTGAGTAAATGTACTTCGTTACTTTGCACCACTGTTTATTTACCTGATCCTTGCATGACGCCTCCCAAAAATGTAGGTCGCAGTTTGAGCTCTATGTTCCACACGGTTCTGTAGCGGCACATGACCTGTAATCACAAACATGAACACGTTTCTTTATTCATGTCTTTGGTCTCGTTGTTAACCAAGGCTGTGTGATCGAAACTTAAAAACAAACCTCAAAGCCAAGCCAGGAGTAGGGAGAAACCACATCGTAAAACAACTCGATCACTTTCTTTGATGTCATCTTCAGGTCTGCAGAGGTTAGAGTCTTTCACTGTTGTCTTTGCTTAAATATAATATCAAGTTAAACATTAATATAGAGTGTCAGTGTGCTATGCTCAGTGTGTCAAAGTTCAATAACTCCACACAGGGCTGCCTGTTCAGTGTTATAAATGCAGTCTATGGTGGTCAAAACAGTGACGGAAATTACCTTAGCTTGAAACGTTGTTAGCATGTGTTTTTTTTAATCCGTATGAATTGTATCTAGCTGCAAATTAAACTAGACTGCTCTGACTGGTGTGGCCTGTACCATAGACTCAGCACCACGGTCTGCACCGAGGATTATGTTATTTCTTCTTCGTTTGATTTTTACGACGGGTTGCATCCTGAATGCTGCACTCCTGCCACCCTCTGGAGTTAGCATAGTGCTACAGCAGAAATGCTGATTGATTGAAAAGTTTATTAACAGCTTGTATATTGGGTACAGTACAGTACAGCTCAAAACATACAATTGTTAAGGGGATGCAGACCAGAGAAAGACTTTCGTCTTGTTTACATCAGGGTCCCCCATTTCCAATTCATCATGTCATTTCAGACGTATAAGACATATTTGACATACAGATGGCTTATTTACAATTTACATACAGGTGGTTTTTTACATAGGGGGGGGGAAGCTGTCCATTGAACGACAGGTTGAGATTTGTACCATTACTGGGGCCAGTTTTGCAATGCTCTCCCCCGAAGGTGCTCTTTAAGAGAGGTTTTGAAGGTAAGTATAGTTTTACTTTCCTTTACAGTTGTGGGAAGAGCGTTCCACCTTGATGTGGCATAATTGCGAAATGTGTATTCCCCCTTTTTTGTGCCAAATCTGGGTTTCACATGATTTGTGGAGCTCCCTCTGGTGTTATGATCATGGTATTCCTTGACCTTTGGGAAGAATTTTGACATGTACATGGTACCATAGAGGTGTAGTGGATCTTGTAGACCAGGCCCATTGCAAGTAGCTGTACTCTGTCGTCTACTCTAAGCCATCCTAGGTTGTCAAAGTGGGCAGAGGTGAGGTGGGTTCTAGATGAAAGGTCAAGCAGTAGTCTGACCAGTTTATTTTTGCGATGTTTGAAGTTTTATTTTTAGCGCCTTGGAGGTGCTATGGTACCATGACGTGCAAGCATAGTCATAGTACCCTTGAATGAGTGCTCCTGCCAGAGTTTTCAGGGTGTTTTTGTTTACCAGAGAGGAGATCCGGTATAGGAATCTAGTTCTTTGATTTACTTTTTTTATTACATTGGATGCCATTTTGTCACAGGAGAGGTTTGCCTCAAGAATAGATCCTAGGTATGTAATTTCCTTCTTACTTGTGACAATAATGTCGCCCACTGCAACTGAGAAGTCGTCGGATTTGCTGAGATTATGTTTCGAACCGAAGAGAATGGACTCTGTTTTACCCAGGTGTAATGATAATTTATTATCGGCGAGCCAGGTACAGATTCTGCCGAGCTCGGAGCTGAGGGTTTTTTCAACCTGCAATCTGCTCCTGTCAGAGACCAGCAGGGCTGAGTCGTCCGCGAACAGGAACAAGTTGCAGTCACATGCTGATGACATGTCATTTACATAAATTAGGAACAGTAACGGACCCTAATATGCTTCCTTGTGGAACACCACAGCTCACTGGGAGGGGGGGGGGACAGAGTACCGTTTACCTCCACCATCTGTTCTCTCCCCTCCAGGTAGGATTGCATCCAGCTCACCGATAGTTTATCAAAACCAATTGCTTTTAGCTTGTCAATCAGAATGGGGTGATTGACAGTGTCGAAAGCCTTTTGTAGGTCCAGCATCACCATGCCGCAGTACTTGCCCTCGTCCACCTCTTGTTTGATGTGGTCGCTCAAATAAAGAAGGCATGTGTCAGTGGAGTGGGATGTTCTAAAGCCAGATTGAAATTCATAGATTAGTTTCTTTTCCGCGAGGTACTTTTCGACCTGTTCATATACTATTTTTTCCATGACTTTCGAGATGGAGGTAAGTATAGAGACAGGGCGGTAGTTGCCTGGGTCCAATTTGCTGCCCTTTTTGTGCAGGGGGTTACTCTTGCAATTTTGAAGTCTTTGGGTACTTTTCCCTGTTTTATGGAGAGGTTAATTATGTGAGCTATGACTGGTGAGATGGCGGTTGCTGTGTCTCTGAGGAATTTGGAGGGGATATTGTCGTGGCCAGTGGCCTTGTTAGGTTGGAGGGCGCTCAGTTTAATGAGTACCTCTGCTGTTGTTACCCTTGCTAGACTGAAATCATCTTTGTGTACCCCTAGGTTTTTGTAGTAGGTCATGATGTGATCTACTCCAAAAAGCCCTGAGTGGGAGGGTAATTTATTTACAAGAGTTGTGGCTATGTTTGTGAAAAAAATGTTCAAGTACTTGGCCACATCCAGTTTGTCTGTGATGAGCCTGTTATCTGTCTTTATGTTTAAGTTAGAAAATCTCGTTTTGAGTTTTTTACTGCAGCCAAGCTGGTTATTGAGTAATTTCCAAAGTTCACGGGGTTTATTTTTGTTTTCCTCAGTTTTTATATTGATGACATTCTTTTTGGCAGTTTTGATCATGGAGCTTACGTCATTTCTTAGTCTGTTTCTTTCAATTTTGAGTTCAGTCACGTGGGCCTGGAGTTCACTGCTCGTGCTTTTGGAAAGCATTGACTGACTTTTATGAAACTCAGAGCATTTTTTGTCTCTGGTTTTCATGGCGGTCAGTATGCCGGAGTGCATCCACGGCTCAGCGCGATTTTTTACCCTGGTTGTTCTTAGGGGGGCCAAATCATTGAGTATTACAGAGAATTTGTTTTTGAAACCAAGCCATGTTTCTTCAACTTGTGTACCACTGAGCTCATTTAACCAGTCCAGGCTCTCCAGTTCTAGGTTAAAGGCCTCGCTAGAGTAGTTTTTGAGGTCTCTAGATATGACTGTTTTGTGACAGCCGGCCCTTTGTTTTAGCTTTTTGCGGGTACAGAATATCATATAATGATCACTTAACCCGCATGCTATAACCCCTTTACTGGAGATCCTGGACTTGTCAGAGGTCAGAATGAGATCAATGGTAGTTTGTGTTGTTTCACATACCCGGGTGGGTTGGGTGATTAGCTGGCTGAAGCCGTGCAGATCACAAATCCTACTGAAGGACTTGAAGACGGACGTGTCTTTACGTTGCATATCCGTGTTCCAGTCTCCAATAATAATTGTCTCTACATCCCCCACATCAGCCAAACACCCATCTAATGTATCATAAAAGTCACTCTGTTCCGGTGGTCTATAGATTGTCCCACACCACTCCGCTCCTCCGCTCCCTTCACTGGCTTCCGGTAACTGCTAGAATCCACTTCAAGACACTGGTACTTGCTTACCATGCTTCGAATGGATCTGGCCCTTCCTACATCCAGGACATTACATGGTTAAACCGTACACCCCAGCGCGTGCACTACGCTCTGCATCAGCCAAACGACTCGTTGCGCCCTCGCTGCGAGGGGGACCCAAGTTCCCATCGGCGAAAACACGTGGGTTTGCTGTCCTGGCTCCAAGATGGTGGAATGAGCTCCCCATTGACATCAGGACAGCAGATAGCTTGCACATCTTCCGGCGCAAACTGAAAACTCATCTCTTTCGACTCCACTTCGAGCGTTAGAACTATTAACGAAGCACTTTTATACTAATAAAGGACTGGCTTACCTAAAGCCAGTTGAGTAGCACTTGAAATGTTTGGCTCTATGAAACCTGATGTACTTATATGATTCTGTTTTCTTCAAGGTTGTGTCTTCCTGGTCGAATGTACTTATTGTAAGTCGCTTTGGATAAAAGCGTCAGCCAAATGCAATGTAATGTAATGTAATGTCCCGACTATTACAGATTTAGCATTGTCAAAAAGAATTTCAACCCACACAGATTCAATATTTCATGATGCAGGTCAGTTCGGTTTTTGAAATTGGTGTCTTTATGTATGTACATGCAGACACCACCTCCATTCACGTTCCTGTCCCTTCTCACTACAAGATAATCTTCAATTTCAATCTCTGAATCTGTAATGGAATTGTCCAATTTGGTCTCAGAAAAGCATAATATGCTTGCCTTACCGTTCATGAATAGCTGCCTGAGTTCAGCCAGTTTGTGTCTCAGGCTGCTCAACTTGCTTATGGGTTAAAAAAGGATTTATTAAACCAACAATTATTCTATTTTTTTGAAAATATTGAAAATCATTTAAAGGCCCATAACTGATCTATCTTTGAAATGTGATGTGATTATTATTTTAACTTTGTTAATGTAACTTATTTTCTCAATTACTTTTCTGCATTTGTATGTAGGCTAGTTGCTTTGGTTGAAATAATTGATTCAGCATTCAAAATAGCTAGAGTCTCTTTCATAATTTCATTTAACCTTTCAGCTACAACAATAGCTTCTGTCAGGGCCTGAAATAATTGCGTGTTTAGGCTATTTTAGTGTGAAATACACATGTATGGGATCAGACTTGTAACAAAACTTGTACTACTCTTTAACTTATTTGTTGTTTGCTGTATAGTTTGCAGTCTGATCCGACTTCACCTTGCACAGCCTGTAAGGTCACACAGACAGCATTCTCTCTGTTTGTTATATGTTAACTATCTCATCAAACACAGTCCTGTATTCACTCCTGATCCTGTTCGTCCCTAACTCTTTATTTCTTCCATCATGTACATTGTCTCCGATACATATTTTCTGAAATTTAAACACATGCTCTATATATACTGACAATGATCATAATAAACAGTTCAATACCACATTTTGTTCAATGAGCTTGTTTCTTTTAGCTAAAATTAAATGTATATTTTATCTGTATTGTTATTATTTAATTGTTTTTTATATAGCCCTATGTAAAATATATGATTACTTCTTCCATTAATGGTGGTATATTCTACCACACCTGTTCTGCTTGATTTCATTTTATTATAACTTTTTTGTTTCTTAATATGTCACAATCAATTATCTTGCTAGTTACTATATTTTTATATTTACTGGTATCATTACCCCTATCTTTATCATCAAAGTAATCGCTATCACTTCATTTACTTTCCTCTGCTGTTCCTCTCCCCTGTCCCCCCCCCCAGCCCCTCATTGAAGTAAAACTGTTTATTATAACAACTCACCAGTATATAGACTTACAACATTTACTTAAGCCAGTTTTATATCTTTAACATTTCATTTTAAAACATTGTAAATACTTTGTACAATATTACTGCTATAACAATAAATATAGACTTACAACATTTACTTAAGCCAGTTTTATATCTTTAACATTTCATTTTAAAACATTATAAATACTTTGTACAATATTACTGCTATAACAATAAAA